GCAAGCCCCAGGCAGGCAGCAGGGAGTTATTTTAGATGCTGTCCCATCTGGAGGCTTCCAGAACCAAAGAGGAGGGATCTGGCCTCCTCTCCCAGCCCATGCTTTCAGCAGACATTATTTGAAGAGCGGCAAGTGCTGGGCTAGCTCCTGGCAGGACAGCTGGTCCCAAGCCCCCGTGCTGCATCCTCCCTCCCCGAGCACACCATCCCCTCGGCAAACCCTGCTCCTGCCCCTCCAAGCCCCATGGGGGCAGAGATGGGTCCCGGCACATCGCCGCAGTGCTGGGTACCGGGGCAGGCAGCGCTGCTGGGAGCTGCTCACAGGCCGGTGCATGGTTTCCATGCTTCAGCAGGTGCCCACAGGCCGGGCACCCTCAGCCCTGCATCCATGCACTGGCGTTTACTTCTGATTCTTCCTCCCCCTTTGCTTGCCGGGGGATGCTACCCCATTTAGTACCACCCAAACCCAAGGGCTCAGTGCCACGTAGATCCCACCACGGGACTGCATTTCCCTGCGGGAAAGGTGACACACACCCAGACCTCCCCCCGATTCCCTCCTCCAAACAACACCCAGTGCTACAGGCATCCACACCAAAGACCCCGACAGCCCAGTGCTCGCTGCTGTGGCTGGCCCGTGCATGCTCCTCCCTAGGCAGCACCCAAAGCCTTCCCAAGCCCCTCTGCCCCCCGACACCGGCACTCACTGGTGGTGCTTCCCGACATCTGGATAATGCATTTAGATTCCCGGCTCATCTCCCGGGAGTTGAAGGGCCGGACACGCACCGCCACCTTCACGGATGCTCCCGCCATCGCGCCGGACGGAGGTGGGTCCTGCTAGCAGGGAGCAGTGGCTGTCCTGAAAGGAGGGAAGAGGAGGGGGTTAGAAAAGCTCGTGTCCCAGTCCCCATCTCGCAGCCGTGCCAGAAAAATGAACAGAAAGCCTTGTGCAACGAAACCTCCCAGGAAGGCTGGCTTGCCTCTGCCCAAGAGAGGACATTTTGTTTCATCCCTCATCCGACTGCACTTGCCTCTCCCGCCTCCCCATTCTGTCTTGGGTCAGGACCCCCGGCTTTGTCCCAGGGGATATCCCTGCCCTTACCCAGGGCAGCACCCAGAGTCTCCATCAGCCCGCGGCACCATTCGCTGGGCGCCTGCAGCAGGGGACAGGGCCACATAGGCGCCGTCAGCATCAGCCTGGCAGTTTTTCCACCCCGGGGTGCCAACAGTGCTGAGCAGGCAGCCCCTCACTCGCAGGCAAGCCCACAGCCCCCTGCCCATCGCCTGAACCTCCTGCTTCCACTGCGGCCCCAGCAGGGCAGGGACCGGCCAGCGGGACTGGGGGAGGGGGGGGAGGACAACAGTGGAATTCGTGTCGGGAAAGGGGGCGACTGCCAAACGCAAGCGCTGGTATTTGCTGCTCATTCAGCGGTGTCAGCAGGAGCAGTGCCAGCCAGCGAGCCAGCGGCCATCGCCCCGCACTGGAGCTCCCGGCGCACCACCATTTTTCCACTCCTTTTGCTAATCAATTATTAATTACAAGCCTCGCAAGATGAACCCAAACGCTCTCATCTAACATCTCCCAGAGCAGACGCTCATCCCAGTGTTGGCCTCCAGGCTCTCCCCAGCTGGTCCCACCTTTCCCGAGTCCCAGTTAAGCCTCACTAGCATTGACTGGAAAAGGATGCTGGGGTCCTTCCCTTGACCATCGGGTCCTTCAGGATCAGCCCTGACAAAACCCATTCCCACCTCCTAACATCCATCCCATCCCCTCCCCTGCGCGCCCCCTGCTCCCTTGATCCCTGCTGAGCTTCCCATGGGGAAGAGCAGCTCAGCACCCCGCAGCACAGGCAGGCACCCGCCCCACTGGTGTCCCTGCCTGCAAGGCTTCTGCAAGGCTCTGTGCAAACGCCCCGGGGCTCCTGGAGCCTCGTCTCTGCCAGTGGGAGGGAGGCGATGCAGAGCAAGCAACGGCACAGCCCGGTTACACGGACCACGACCTGAAGGGAGCGGAGCAGTAAGGACGGGTCTTCAAGGCAAGATGGGTTTTCCCACTGTGGAAATGAGAAATACAGCT